AACCAAGGAAAGGAATTCTGAATGTTGAAATATATATATGTAAAAACTGAATTAAAATACATTTTTAAAAAAGTGAAATCACTGATTTTAAAAAAAAATCAAGTTGATTTAAATTTCAAAAATCAACTGATTTAAATCAACCCAACCCTGGGTAGCAGATGGAAATACTGGAGAAAAGAAATCTGGCCACGTGGGAGTTAATTCAGTTAAACTGGTGTCTTGTGCGTGTGGTGGCGAGGCGCCCAGCGACCATTGGGGGATCGCTTCCCTTACACAAACTGATCGCCCGACTCGCGGCCTGGAGAATAACGGCGTTTGTATTTGATTTGAGCCCGTGAGTTTAGCTATCAGTTTGTGCCACGACGGTTGCTTTGTGCCGTCAATCCGGGCCTATCTAGCTAGCCCTGTCGACCAAAGCGAACTGATTGTACTAGTGGGTTCTTGATATAACGGCTTCCCCGCACAATGAGGGTGGGTAGTTGGTGGGTGCTCTGCTGTGGTTTGCTCCTTTTTTCCTAGCAAACGTCCTGATCTCTCCTCCTTTTTTGTGTTTGTTGCTCTGTCGTAACACCTCTAATCTTCGGCACTTGCATGATCTAATTGTGTTGCAAGTGCTGTAAAACTCCTAGTAAAACTAAACGGAATGAGGTCCGTCGTGGTGAGCGAAGCTCTGTGATGTATTGAGGGAACATGTCCTGCCCTGCGCTGACAGCTGGAAGAAAAATAAAATATGCCTAAATAAAACATTCACCTAGAGGAGACAGTAAAAATAAATAAAAAATTACATATGCCTAAATAAAATGCTCATCTACAGTAGACGGTTGGTAAAATGACTAGAAATTTAAATACCTAAATAAAATACTTATCTAGAGCTGACGGAAAATAATAATTAAATATGCCTAAATTAAATACTCACCTAAAGGAGACAGTTGGTAAAAAAAATAATTTTTTAATAAAATATGCCGAAATAAAACACTCGCCTAGAGGAGACAGTTGGTAAGAACAAAAAAATTAAATGGCAAAATAAAATACTCATCTAAGATAGACGGTTGGTGAAAAAACAAATTAAATATGCCTAAATAAAATACTCATCTAGGATAGACGGTTGGTGAAAAAAAAAATTAAATATGCCTAAATAAAATACTCATCTAAGATAGACGGTTGGTGAAAAAACAAATTAAATATGCCTAAATAAAATACTCATCTAGGATAGACGGTTGGTGAAAAAAAAAATTAAATGCCTAAATAAAATACTCACCTAGAGGGGACAGTTGGTAAAATCCCCCCAAAAAATTAAATATCCCTAAATAAAATACTCATCTAGAGGAGACAGTTGTGAAAAAATAATTAAACAGGCCTAACAGAAATACTCAAATAGAGGAAACGGTAGGTTAAAAAATAAAATTAAATATTTCTTAATAAAATGCTCATCTAGGGTAGACGGTTGGTAAAATAAAAATTAAAAAATACCTAAATAAAATATCTAGAGCTGACAGAAAATAATAATTAAATGCCTAAAAAAGTACTCATCTAGAGAAGACGGTAAAAAATAAAATAAAATATGCCTACAAAAAATACACATCTAGTGGGGACGGTTGGTACAAAAACAAAATTAAAATACTTAAATAAAATAACTATCCAGAAGTGACGGTGAAAAAACAAATAAATATGCCTACATAAAACACTCATCTAGAGGAGACGGTTGGGAAAATAAAAATTAAATATGCCTAAGTAAAATACTCATCTAGAATAGATGGTTGGTAAAAACAAAAATTTTAATATGCCTAAATAAAATACTCATCTAGAGGGAACGGTTGATTTGAAAAAAAGTAAACATGCTTAAATAAAATGCTCACCTAGAGGAGACGGTTGGTTTAAAAAAAAAAAAATTAAATATGCCTAAATAAAATACTCATCTAGAGGAAACGGTTGATTAAAAAAAAAAAGTAAGTATGCTTATAAATAAAATGCTCACCTAGAGGAGACGGTTGGTAAAAAAATAATTAAATATTCCTAAATAAAATACTCACCTAGAGAAAAAGGTAAAAAACTAAATAAAATATGCCTACAAAAAAATACGCATCTAGTGGGGACGGTTGGTACAAAAAAAAACCCCTTAAAATACCTAAATAAAATGCTCTTCTAGGATGGACGGTTGGTGAAAAAAAAAAAATATGCCTAAATAAATTACTCACCTAGAGGCGACGGTTGGTTAAAAAAAAAATATATATATATGCCTAAATAAACACTCTTCTAGAGGAGACAGTTGGTAAAAAAAATCTAGATCTAATTTTAATCTAAATCTAAACTGAATTAAAATGATCTAGATCTAGAATCTAGATAACTTGGTGCTTTTTCGGTAGTTCCCAATTGCGGGGTGGGAACTAGGCCTACCGAAAAAGCTCCGATATCTTGATGGCTAGAATCTAGATCTAGATCTAGATCTAAAGATAGATTCTATGGGCTATAACCTTGGCTAGCCTATCTAGAATCTAAAGATCACTAGATTCTGGATAGACTATCTAGATCTAGATTCTAGATCTTCTAAATTCCCTCCCACAATGGCCCTCAGGAAAAGAAACGGGACCGCAATTGTACAGGAGTTCCTCTAGATCCAGATCTTCCAAAACATCTTGTTCTGGATCAGCAGGTAGATCTAGATCTATATAATATCTAGATCTAGTCACTGAGGTACCAAACACAGCCTGGCTTATTTTCACCCAACAAATATTACCGAACTTTGAACATCTGTAACTAGCTGAAAAATTAAGTAATATTGTTGATTTTGGCATCAAATTTCTCAGAAAAGTAAGCTCTATCCATCTAGCACATCAAAACAATTCTGCGTGAGAAAAATTATGTCAGATTAGACTGAAATAATACTCAAAATATGGTCAAAGAGAGATAACCGTGAAAAATACTGAAGGGATGACTTTTTAGGGTTACCTTCCTTAACTGAAACCCAAAGACTACA